CTTTGTTGTGCCAGAAGTGAGGAAGGCTCATGAGAACATGGCAGAAGGACCTAGGAGCCAACTCGAAGGGGCTCCCACTAGCCATGTATGAGACAATTTGGTATTTGAAGAGAATTATAAATAGCACTGGATTTTAATACATTGAGTCAAAACATGTTCCAAGAGTCAATATGGATGATAAATATGGGGAAGAGGATGAAGAGAGAAGAACTCTCTGTGAAGAAGAATGTTAATTCATACACATAGAGGGAAAGATAGATTGAAATGCATCCTTTTGTGAATACCAATGCAATAAGCGGTTCGGGTGAGGATTATCAAGGAGTGCTAAAATCACTGGGTGAAAAGTTCTAGAGGAAGAGAATTCACAGGACCTCAAATATCACTGCACTGATTAGCTGATTTACAAGGGGACAGGGGACTGCATTTACAGGCGAGGGGGCTGGGTGGTCCCCATCTTATTTAAGTGACCAAATGTATTACCAGTGTGGCATTTTTAACAAATAATTTCTCATATCCTGGTTTTTCACATAGAATCAGGTTAACATTACTGGAAATGTGAACTTGGATGATCTATTCCATTATTTTTAAATTAGTGCTAAATTTCTTTGCTGTTGTACGATGTTGTGGGAATGTAGAGAATGTCCTCATCCTTAGTCATGTACCTTAAGAGTTTAGAGGTCAGGTGTCATGAATTCTGCCATTTCTTTTTGAATAATTAAAAATATTATATGTATTTTTGTAAATGCGATTTCCCTATCTTATGTATCATTTATGTGTGTGTGTGTGTGTGTGTGTGTGTGTGTGTGTGTGTGTGTGTATGAATAAGAAAATGTAGTAACATGTTAACAAACGTTGAATCTAGGTGAAGGGTTTACAGGTCTTTGTGCCATTGCTTCAATTTTTTTTTTTTTATCACTTTGAAACATTTCAAAATGAAATCCTGGGTATGAGTCATTGTACATAACATGCTCATTAGAGCCTGGTGCAGTGCATGCGCTCAGGAAATGGCAGCTGGGTGAACCCACCATCAACACTATTTACGTTGCTCAGGGACTCACGTGTTCTAACTTCACAGTCTCAGCTGTGGTCTGGTGAAAGGTGGAGAAGTAACCACTAAATACGTGGGCCATGGTTTTGTCTGAGACTTTGGTGGAAAAGGGAAAAGTAAAGAACCTGCTTAGTCTCCTATCAACAGCTGCTTCTCAGATGAAGCAACGGGGCTCAGCACCGCGAGCTTCTCTGGGCAGCGGTGGGTTCCTTCACAGGCCCTCAGAGTCACTGGGGTGCTGAAGTGACAAGTCCTGTGAGTTGCCCAGAAGACCACTTGCCGTGCAGATGAATGCAGCATGTGCCCAGTCAGCTCCTTTGGAGAGGCTGCTCTTTGGCTTCCTGAGGGGGTTTCTGTTGAGGGACTAGAGCCCTGCTCCAGCCTCAGCTTCTCCTGAGATGAATGAGTGCCCAGCAGACAGAAATGGCGCCACCCCTGCTCCGGCAGAACGGAACCTGGTCCTGGCGCACAGAGGGCGCGCACGCCCAAGGCCCTCCTTCAGCCCAGCGGCTCCCGAGGTAAGACTGGGGACTGGGGACTGGGGACTGGGGACTTGTGGGCTGGTGCTTTTAATATGGTGATGTCCACACATCTCCGCAGCATAGGAATCAATGTTTTATTAATGCTGCCTAATTAAAATTTAATTTAAAAGCACTGCTGTTCTCACATTGTTTTGATAAAGGCTTTGTGATTTTCCCCCCCTGGTGACCAGAAGGAGAAGGGGAGAGGGCAAGGCATGGCTTAAAGATAGGACTTGGGATTTGCTGCTGCACCTGTGGGGCAGCCTCAAAAAGCAGCCCAAGGCGGGCAGGGCACCTGGAAGGAAACCAAACACCTGGGCTGCTTCTGGGCCAAACGCTGCTGCCGTTCACCTTCTGAGTCCTGAGTTGCTGTGCTGGGCCTCAGCATGGGCTCTTCCCTGTCTGACAACCGACCACTAGTTGCTACACCATCCTTCGTGCCCTGACTCTGCCTCTCAGCTCAGGCACTGACCCCACTGCCATTCCTTGGGCATCTGTGCCATATTTTCCACAACCGTTGGAACGGATGGATGTCTAGAACTCTGGCGAGGTTTCCTAGGCAGGTGTGTGGTTTCTAAGTTGCTTGGGCTCGAAGATCCTTTGTCAATAAATATTTTTTTCCCTGTGACTGAGTATAAATGTGGCAGCTGCGTTTAGTGAAAATATACATTCTGCTGGGCATTATTGCAATTCCTTTATATACCATCCCATTTAATGAGCACATCAGCCTATACGGCACTGGAGGTATTTTTACCTCCATTTTGTTGGTGCAGAAACCGAGGCAATAAGAGATTAAGCAACTTGTCCCAGGTATATCTACCTCCAGAGTCCACCTTCTCAAATACTCCATTATTCTACCTACTGGTGGGAGAGGCTGCACTTTTTTTTTTTAAATCCTCATCTGAGGATATATTCTTCATTGCTTTTAGAGAGAAAGGAAGAGAGAGGAAAAAACATTGATATGAGAGAGAATCATTGATCAGTTGGCTCCATTATGCACCTGGACTGGGAATTGAACCTGCAACCCAAGCATGTGCTCTGATCAGGAATCGAACTCTCAGTGTTTCGGTTATGGAACAATGCTCCATCCAACTGAGCCATGCCGGCCAGGGCAGAAGTTGCACATTTTTGAAACAATGGAAGCAGGTCCAGGGAAAGGTCTGGAAGCTCCATCAGAAGCCAAACGCAGCGGCACAGCTCCTGGGCTGTAGAATGAAGCTAAGATGATATGACCACCCCGCTGTGTTGGAGGCTGGGTGGGAATGGGTTTACAGGAAGCAGGGCACTCAGGTCGCCTGGGATGGCTGATCCAGGGAGAGCTGTACCCACGAGACTGAGGTTCACTGCAAGCAGGAAGGAAGGTGAGGGCCAAGGTGACGGAGGCTTTTGTCCCCACTGCTGCTCCTGCCACCTCGAAGTACAGTCTGCGGGGGCTGCAAGGTGGAATTTCCGGGGGGGTCAAGAAGGGTCTGTCATGAAGGTGGGTTGTTTACAACTTCCAGTTTTAGGATGGGACTTGGAGGAAACGGATGCAGGGGACAGGGTGAGAAGAGGATGGCACTTTTCCCTCTATCTCCTTATGGGACTTTGTGTCTGAGGATGTGGTCTGGATCCCATCGTGGGCCACCATCAGGGGCCCAGGGACTTGCTTTTATGAAACAAGAATGCTAGACAGGGCTGCCTTCGTAGAAAGGTTCTGCCTTGAGAACCTAAAGAGAATGGAAGTCCAAGGCGGGCATTTGCCTCATGGGGCTGACAGTAACCGTTCTCTGCCCAGACCCTTTCTGGTAACTTACAGGGGTATCCAACCTGTGGCTCGCGGGCCACACCCGGCCCAGCGTGGCTGCGAAGGTGGCTCAACACAAAATCCTAAATTTACTTAAAACATTATGCGATTATTTTGTGTGTGTGATTACGTGTCACAATGTATTTAATGTGTGGTCCAGGCTTCTTCCAGTGTGGAGTAGAGGTGCCAAAAGTTTGGACACCCCTGCTTTGTGCCCCTCATCCTTTTGCCTGCACGGGCAGGAAGCCAAAAGTCCCTCCCCCCCATCCTAACCACTGGCGGGCCGCTCTGATCCTGGATGCGAAGAAGAGCGATGCATGAACGGCAGCGTTATCCTGCAGGCCCGGCCACAGCCCCCTTTGCTGGCCTGAAGCCGCACCGTAGCCTCCTTCCCCTTCGCTGTCCTGCGTCCCCCTCCCTTCCCAATCTCTCCTGGGAAGCCTTCCTTAATCCATCGCTTGCACACAAAACGACACCTGAAACCTACACAATTTTATTAACCAATGTCACCTCAATAAATTCCATAAAAAATTAAATTTAAAAAATTTAAAAAGCTACATCTTAGAGTCTGATGCCAGGGAACTAACTGAAGATATCCCACAAGGCCAGAGGCAGCCTGGCTGGGGGAAAACTGGAACAAGGCCATAGAGAATGTTCTCTAGATAAGTGATAGCATGAGGAAGTTCTGTCCTCCCATAAATAAAATAGGTACTGAGATATAGTTAGCGGCAAAATGCAATGGCAGCATGGGAAGGAACACCCGTGTCAGCTCAGGCAGTCAGGGAAAGCTTCCTGGAGGAAGGAGCATGTGAATGAAGACATGGAAGTTTAAGAGAGCTTGTCCTGCAAACATGGAGAGAGAGGTTGTTTCATGCAGGAGAAATGGCATGGGCAAGGTCAGAGGGGTGGGGAAGTGAGGAGCTCTAGGAACGACACGTGGCTCTCTGTTCCTTGAGTCTCTAGTTAAGAGGCATGTCAGAAGGTAAGGGACAGGAAGCAGACTCATCAGAACCTTGGGGGAGTGGAGAGGCGAGGGGCGGGGAGAAATGGAGGCACGCAGGCTGACTTCAGGTCTTCATTTGGGCTTAGTGGATGCAGCCCATTGAGATGAGACCCACAGAGAGAGACGTCATAGAAGTACAGAAGAGAAGGGTAGTTCATTTGGGGGGACTTTGGGTCCGAGATGCCTGTAGGACATCCAGGTGAGTATTCAGTTCGGGGTGCTGTCAATGTGCGTGCGAATAACCTCTTTACAAGTATTTTCTGATTTTAACTCTTAGAGAATCCAGAATTGTCTGACTCCCAAACTCAACATGCTTGAACAATATGACACATAGTCTGTGCTTCAGGAAGCATCACTGTGGTTAAGCATAGGGCACAGTATGTGGTATAAAGTGAGAAGAAGGATGGGGGTGTAGAACGGTCAAAGTTGAGTGCACGGCTGTGGAAGAGCTGCTGTGTCTATGGGAACAGTGCCCCCTGGAGTTGTGCAATGCACAGTCTGCACTGAAGACCTTGGAAAAAGGCCCATGCAGAGGGGGAGATGAGAGAAGCAGGAAAAATAAAAACCTTGTAACTGACAGGCATGGCCCTGTAGCAGGTCCAACATGCCCCGCTCCCAAGTAAGCGCATTTCCTCGACTCACCATCCTCCTCTGTTTGCACCACCAGCTCCTCGCTCTCCATCCGGCCCTCAGGGTTGGACAGCAGGAGCCGCAGCCGGATGGTCATGAAGGGCCGCAGGCCTCGCAGGGTGTAGTGGGAGGAGGTCTGAATGACCTCCTCGGCCTCGTACTGCTGCTGGTTGAACACGTACTGGTACTGCACCGTGAGGTTGTAGCTGTGGCAGCGGGTCACCGTGTAGCCGAAGGGCTCCCACTGGAGGGTCAGCTGCCGGGCTCGGATGTCCACAATCTCTACATTCTGCGGGCCGTGCACGGGGTCTGCAGACGGAAGCACAAGACACAGAGGAGACTGTCAGGGAGGTGGAGTGGGCGTCCCGCAGAGCAGCGGGAGCAGCTCTTCCAACCTCTCTCAGCTGTTCAGCCACTGCTCCGTGGGTTTCACCACACGGTGCCTAACTTAACAGGTTTCTATAAATCAGGCTCCTTTTTCTTACTTAAATGCATGCATCTAAAAGTAACTATATAAAAAGGGGAATCTTGAAAAACCTACCATAAATAAATGTTAACCATAAAAATAAATGCAAAATTATTAAACTGTTTTTCTTTAATCCTCACCCAAGGATATTCCTATTGATTTTTAAAAGAGAGAAAGGGTGGGGGGTGGAGAGAGAAACATCTACACGTTGCCTCCCTCCCATGCACATCCCAGCTGGGGATCGAACCCACACCCTAGGTATGTGCTCTGACTGGGAATCAAACTCACAACCTTTTGGTGTATAGGACAACACTCCAACCACCTGAGCCACCTGACCAGCGCAAAATTGTTAAATTCTTAAGGGTTCATCAGGGTACCATGGAAACCCACCTTGGGTAGCACCAGCAGCACACACAATACCTTGGGGACATGCTAACTGAGAAGGCTGCTAGAGCTCTGACATGCTGTAACCAGGCCACGTCCTCTCCCCTCGGGAAATCAGCCCCCATCTTTAGTTAACCGCTCTGAGGTACACGGGCTGGAGGCAGGGCATCATCCTAAACACACAGCCCCCGTCTACCCACATGGTCACGTGGTCCAGTGACAACACCCTGGAATGTCCCCTCCTTTCATTCATAACACAAGTCACTATTCCCTAGCCTTCAACCCTTCTTTCTCTCCTCTCTGCTTTTTTTCCAAACAGGCTCCTCCAGGGACATCGTCCGGAGAGCAGATCTGACCACGCGTTCGTATCGTAAGTCTGCCTCCCCCCCTCCCCCGATCGTGCTCCCATGCCCTTGGCTATATCTTATTGTGAATATTCTGTTTCTAATCTATACAAACAAAATGGATTTTTTTTTTATACAAAACAGATGATAACAAATGAATGTATTTTTTTTCAATCCCCACATGTAAAGCTCGTTTTATAAAGGTTTAGGGCCCAGAGGTGTCCAACTGTTTGGCATCTCTGGGCCACAGTGGAAGAAGAAGAGCTGTCTTGGGCCACACCATTGAATACATTGCAAAATGTAGTACCATAAAAATCTCATAATGTTTTAAGTAAATTTATGATTTTGTGTTGGGCTGCATTCATAGCCACCCTGGGCCGCGGGTTGGACACCCCGGATTAGGCATTCGTTATGGTAGAAGCATAACTTTTTTTGTAATCAGCATCCTCATAAGTTCCTGTGTCAGTTTCTCTCACTTGGGAGTAGCTAAGCACTGGCTACAGATTAAATCAGTATATGTTCTTCTATGCTACCTATAGGACTTTACCAAGTCAGGTCACCTCTTTGGGCCCATATTTTATTCCATTTGTAAAATGGTGATAATAATAGCAGCCAATTTCATGCAGAGGAAAAAGGGGGAGTTAAGTGAGACGCTCTTTGCAAAGCAGTTAGAATTGCACCTGGAACTTAATAAGCCCTCCATACACAGTAGTTTTTCTTTTGCAGCAATAAGAATAGTAATAAAAATAATAAGGTTTCAAATGCTGTATCTCTTCTGAACGTCTTATAAGTCACAGTGCTGGGTAGCAGCATCCTTATGCAAAATGATAGATTCTGTCATCTCTTGGGCCCCCGGAGAGCGCAGGGGTCAGCCTGCCTCTGCACCAGCACAGCAGCAGGAAGGGGGAGGGTGGGTTCTGATGCCTCTGAGTTCCCTTAAACATCCCAATCTGTCCTTAAAAGCCCTGCAACTTGTATCAAAGCCTTCCCAAAACCACTTCACAGCACTCGCCTTTTGAGAAGGATGCCCAGAAATGGCAGGGAGCCCGGCCAGCCAGTTCAGACGTGCTTGCGCTCTGCTGGGGACAGGGGGCAGCCTGGCCCCAGACCAACTGAGGAGTTCACGGTCACTCTTACAGCCCAATTATTCATGCTCACAGGTCCTCTGGGTAAAGGACAGCCGGCATCCCCAAAGCAAATGGGTGACTTTGAAACTGACATTGAATGAGGCATTGCTCAACGTCTGTTGTGCTGAGTCCACGTGGAACAGAAGGTGAAAAGCATCTTCCCCAAAGCTGGGGGGTTATGATCTGGGGTGGTGGCTGCTGCTGCTTGGTTTGACAACCACGATGACAAGGGGAGAAATGTGCAAGCACAGGGACAACGGGAGGCTGCCTGCCTGGGAAGTCCTGAGCACGGCCCCCAGCCCTGCCCAGCTGGAGCCTTTCTGTTCACCCAGATGCCAGACTGTCCTGGTGGGGAGGCCACCTGTCCCTGCTCAGGACCTCATCGGACACTCCTCCTCTGGGTGAGTCCTTAAAGCACAAACAAAACAAAACAACAACGCCTCTGATGGCCAGTAGCCACTATGCTGGGTTCTGTCACTCACATCATCTTGTGACCTCCTAAGGGAGGGACTGCCAACTTCATTCTACAGATGAGTAAACTGAGGCCAGAGAGATCCAGATACTTGTACAGTAGTGAGAATAGCAAGTGGCAAAGTGGGGTTTTGAACTTGTGACTGTCTGACTCCACACCTAGTATACAAAGAAGACGTGCTTGACCAGAGGGGCCTGAAAAGATAGTGGGCGGGCGCTGTGTGCGCACCTGCATATGGGGATCCGCACCCTCGCCGCGCCCCCGCCCCCCCGGCCTCCCACCCCAGCCCTGCTGGCTGCCTGTCTCCTCTGGCTGGTGTTGCGCAGTCCCTCTCCTGCTTTCAGACCCCTTCACTCTGTCTCTGCTGTGAAGACCTCCCCTCTGTGCCCCTGGGCAGAGACCGGTGGCCATTGCGTTCTCCCATCATTAACTCTTCCCTTCTGTGTTAATCGCTGTATACTGTGACAGCTTTCTAGAAATTGCCTCTGCAATTCCTAGAGCAGGGTGATCTCCCCCTCCCCTACCCCGCCACAACCAGGCCCAGCCGTGAGACCTGCAGAGGGGGACCTTAGCAACTGTCAGCTGAATGGGCGTCCTGTATTGTAAGACTCACGCTAAGCTGTGGGGAAAGCCTTGTCCTAGCCTCAGCGGAGAGGAAATCAACGTTCCGTGGGATGAATAAGGGGCTCGGAGCCACACAGTGAGATTTGATATCTGAGGGCCCCGGGCTTCTGTGTTTGCTCTGCACCGTGACACCACGAGGGACTGAGACCAGGGAAAGGACATAAACATAAGGCATGTCACAGTCATCAGGACCTGGGAAGGCCCAGGCAGAATGTTGAGAGAAGGCACAGAACAGTCAGGCAAAAGTGGCTTGACATGCAGAAGCCTGAGGTCACTGCCGTGGGCAATGCAGGAACTTAATCAGATGTACTGGTAAGATGACCACTGGCCTGTCTTCCCACCTGGTCTCAGGCTACTACAGAATTCTTCCCATAGCTCACCTGGGCAGGGGTGCACACAAACACCTTTCCGCTTCTCTAAAAGGAAGGATTAGGCAGGGGTACCTTTTCAAAGAGGGCAAGAGATGCCGCAAGCCTGCCACAGAGTACAGAGACTTCCTCCCAGAGCTGGAAAGTCGGGGCAAAGGAAAAGTCACTTGTTCCCTCCGAAGCACCTGTGACTGACTGTCCTCAGTCAGGCCAAAGGGACAGTGGAGCCGGACAGAGCACGGCTTGCCGCCAGCCTCGGGCGCTCACAAGCTGTGTGACCTTGGGCAAGGACACTTCATCTCTGAGCCTCCACTCCCTCACCTACCCAGTAAAAATTATTGCACTAATTTCGGAGCGCCGTTAATGAGTATCCAATGAACTGCAGAGAGAGAAATCGCCTCCGCCTAAGCGGGGGCATTCCTCTTAGAGACAATGGCCTTTCTTGGAGGAATGCCTTAAGACTTCCTGTGGTTTCTAGAAAGGGCCGAGGTTTGCCCGACTCACTCAGGCCCAAGAAGATACCGCGTGAGAACACAGTGGCCAGAGGCAAGGGGACTTGGAAAAGATGTCCCCGTGTAATCAGCTCCCTGAGAGACAATTTGGAGGGTTCTCCTCACTGTGGAAATTAAAAGGTTACATGCAAGAGGCAAGAAGGTCTCTGGTGGACCTGTGGGTTCGACCCATGCATCAGAGGGTGTTTTGTAAGTTCAAGAATGCCCGTTCAGAAAGGGAAAGATAGTGGTTATTTATGAAGCAGCAACCCTGGGCGAAGCACTTGCAGGCACAGACAGGCTCTGGCCCAGGGAACTGAGGGCAGTGATTTACCTAGGGCCACAGAGCCGAGTGCCCAGCCTCCCACGGCCTTTGCACAGCTGTCTAGCCCATTCAGCATTTGTCACGCTTTCTAGGAACTGCTTGTTTATTTATTCATCACCCCTCGCAGGTTGCAAGGGACCATATTCTGTTTGTCCAGCAACCCCAGCACATGGTGCAGGGTCTGTCGAGGGGCTAGCTCGTGTTTGCTAAAAACAAGAGGAACAGATGGTGATCTGTTCTTGGGCACTGAGCTCCGACCTCCTGACTCTGCGGTCCCTGTTCCGTCCCCTCCAGCATGTCAGCGAGTCTTTAAGGGGAACATATCTATTTTTGCATCCAAGCAAGAGAAATGTCCTGAAATCCTAGACAATGAAAACTAGTTTTCAGAACTAGTGGGATGGAGGCATTCATGCTTTCAATCTGACCCCCCAAAACCTCAGCCGCCAAACTCAGCTTCTGCTCCAGTAATTGCCTGCAGCAGAGATGCTCAGGCTCACGTTGGGGTTGGTGCAAACAAGTTGGAAATTGCTGACAAAGCCTGTGCGGGCAGTGGAGATTGGTTTCATTGAATTTACTTTCCCCGTGTAAATATGTCCAAGTCTGCAGCCCATGGTTTCTGCCTCCAGATAAGGCCCCATCCATATGACCCTGCAGGCCACCGAGATGGCAGATGGTGGGAAGAGAGGGTGCCTTGTCTGAGAAGCTAGA